GGATAAATGGATTGTATTCAAAAACATAAGACATTTAAATAGTATATATTCGAATATATACCGTAGCCGTAGGGAAAAATTACAAAATAATACAAAAAATACATACAGTATTAAAGACCATTATATATATATGTATATCATTGATGATGTAAAGTAAGGATGTACAGTTTGTCTCAGTCAGAGCAGTCTATCGATTAAAGACAATCACCGTGTGATGCACTTCAAAAAATTGCACCAACAATCATCCGTCCTACGGCGGGATGAATCTCTAATCATCACTAGCCCAAAGTCACGGTGGTTGAATGGATCTAAGTTTGTCTAGCCTGCCCTAGGCTAGCAAGAAGGTAGGTCTACTTTATCTACCCTAAACCCAATCATCATCACTACTGTATCAGTTTGTCTAGCCTGCCCTAGGTTGGCAAAAAGGTAGGCCTATACTACTGTCACTGTCAGCACTACGAATCCCTCTGTTCGCCAAGGTCTTGAAATTTATCTTTTTCTCAGCCTCCTTTTCTTTTTTTTAGTTTTCTTCAAATTCTTTTTGTTTTTGTTTCGAGATCAAAAAAAAAAAATCACCAGCCTATAGATAATTCAGCTTTTCGTGTTTCTTTCCCGATTCTTCATTCACGCGGTGGTCTTGATGACATCATAATTTACATTAGCCAATCAGAGAAATAGACCGGCATTATATCGATGTTGGCATATTGGCCGGTGCCGGCATAATATACACTGCCTAATTTTATTCATTTCCGCAAAACAAATAACAATATCAAACATTAAAAATACAAAAAAACAGAAATTCACAAACATATAAGAATAATTACTGTAGTTGAGCCAGGGAGCAGCAAAAGTGTAGCCACTGTCGTCTTAGAGATAGCCCTGCTCTCAAAGAAAAAAAAAAAACAATAAAATGAAATAAAAAAAAAACATACTGTTAACCAATGCAATTTATCAGCATTTACGATTCGGCGCACCTTTTTCCAAGCAAGCGACTTTCTGCACAAATGCATAGGGCCTAGGCCTACAATTTCCCTGCTTTTATAGGTAGGAGACTCTTAAAATACCCTATCTAGCCTAGCCTAAAAGGACTTACAGGCCTTGCCGCTTTGCCTGCACAGAGAGTAGGCCTAGGCAAGGGCCAAGCCAGCTAGCCACAAGCCTAGCTAGGCTAGGCCTTACTGAGGTTGTGTCTACGAACTTCCAACGAAACCGGATAAGTAAAAAATGTCATAATGCCCAGAGGGTAGGTCATTAGATCGCTTGTTTACGAACCCCTAGTTATTCGGATACGGACCGTAAGGTATAGGCCTTTCATGTAAACAAAACAAACACTTCACCGCTTAGCCTTCCTCAGCCCAACAAGGCAATTCAACAACGAATTACCGAAACTAGAGCCTAGGCCAACTGGGAAAATTACAAAAAACAAAGAAAAAAAAAATAGCCTATAGACTTACTACTGCTACTTTACTACTACAGTAGTTCTACAACGATGTGTCAACAGTGTGTGAAGGACAAGAAATGGGCTATCGCCAAAAATTTCGTTCATCATCTCAAAATATGGCCATTCTGTTGGGGGGGGGGCTCCTGACTTCCCGTTGGAGTCCTTTTCCTTGGTGTATTTTCTACGTTTGGTAACTATCTGTGCGTACGTAAAGATATAATCCATTTCCCGCATCTTCTGTGCGATTTTTTTATAAACGGCGGCGTTCCGTCGGGTTCCATCAAAACCATCTTGTATGGATGTCGTTCCCCATATGCTAATTAACGTTTGGGTTGCTTCGTCAGTCCACCCACTCTGTTCAGCTGCAGCCATTGTAAAGGGGTATGTTGTTGTAAAAATAAAATTAATATTTCGGCTTAAAAATTGGATAATATAATTTATAAAAAGAGGACTACTCAAGCGATGTCACTGGACGAAAGCATGGATGAAAAGAAATTCAGAGTCAAGTGCTTAATCTGAATAGATTTCTCGTAAAAGTAAGGTTATTTAACACCATGCTGTGGGCTATTGTGCCCGAGGCAGCCTACAACCCTCCAAACTTAGGCTATGTTCACACACACGGCGTAAGGCTGGCTTCAGTCTGGCGTAGCGTACGCCTTTGTGTGTGAACTAGGCAGTGGCGTTGTTAACGCCACTCACTACGCCACGTCCTTGGCGTTATTAACGCTACCTGTAGACCCCAGATTAGTTAACGCCACTGAGCTAACGCCAGTGATGCTTGAATGATTTGACCTCATTTCAAGAGATTGACCAATCACGATTGCAATATATTAAGCTACTTTGGTCTCTTTCTTGTGCAGTGCCGGATTAACCATTAGGCAAATAAGGCACAAGCCTTGTGGGCCAGGCGAAAATGATGGGCCATCAAAAGTTGGACTGCAATATTATTTACACTCTATTTTCCGGTATTATTAGGACAGAAAACTCGTAATTATTACTATGGGGTCCATTCAATTAACATTTTTGGGCCATTTCCTGTGCTCTCTATAAATGAAATGGTAAAGGGGGTCTTTTTCTATTGCATTTTACTTAGTTATAATGTATATGATTTGTTGATTGTGTTTTGTAAGATATTTTAACCTATTTAGACTGTCTATTAAAACCTGCAACACCAACAATGCTAGCTGAAAAATCAAAGTAAAATTGTTACAATAATCATATAAGTTCACTTCGAACAATTCACAGATTTAAAAGTTTTACTGATCCAATGTTAATTTTACTACAGTTAAGAACCCATACATTATTTAAAACTAAAACTATTCCCCCATAGGCCTATATTACTACTAGTTTAACGCCAGCGTTAATATAGGAACGCCGTTTGTGTGAACACTTTGGAATTTTAATCCGTGAATTAGCTTACGCCTGACGTAAGCTACGAAAGTTCGTAAACGGGCCCTGAGATACCCCCTGAGAGAGGAGGAACTCTCTAGCCTATGCTAAGCTGTATAGGCATAGGCCTAGCCTATCCACCAAGACCCGGCTAGGCCTAGCTAAATTACTATCCTACTACTACTACTGTAGTACTACTAGACTCTAGACTAGGCCTAGGCCCTACTACTAGCCTAGGCTATACTATACTAAAACTAGGCCTAGGCTAAGTCTCACCTGCATTGGGAAGACGGCTGCTTTGTTTCCAACATATCCTGACACAACATGGCTTTGTACTGATAATACTCTGCGATCATGAACCGACATTTTACTTTTATCTGAACCCCAACTTCCAAGAGAAAACAAAACACTGTACTGTACTTTAATAAATGTAGCCCATGCAACAATTTAATGTACGGCTCAGTACTAAATTAACCTTTGAACTCACTCACCGGGTGGTGGCACATGTGTATTTTAGTAGTCTCTCTTCCACACGTATCGCCGTACATTGTCGCACAATACCAGGTAAGTATGCCAAAACCATAGAGCTATCAACAGGCTTCGGTCATGTTCGATCTCAATAACCGCGCTACGTTTGTTTGGAGTCTACTATTTCAGTTCGGGTAGCTAGGAGGTACAAATGTATGAGGCGCCAAGTGTAAATTTATTATTTAACACAATTATTTATATATAATTCATTATTTAACATATAATTGACTAGATCACCCATTATTTATATATAGTGCATTTACGTCTAAAATAGTATATGTAAATAATTGCGTTAACGTTTCATTATTTATATATTATAATTAGTTTACTGATTACATTATATATAAATAATGAAAGGCTAACCAAACATTATTTATATATAATAAGGTTACTGGCTTCATTATATATAAATAAGGAAGGGGAAACACATCATTATATATAAATAATGAAAAATAACTTACAATTATTTATATATAATAATTTCACTGATTCCATTATATATAAAAAAAAATGAAAAGGTAACAAATCATTATATATAAATAATAAGAGTAACTTACAATTATTTATATATAATAAGTTCACTGAATTCATTATATATAAATAACGAATTGACTTAAAACTCATTATTTATAAATAACTGCTTTTACATTTCATTATAAATAAATAATAGCTGTCGCAAAACCATAATGCTTGGACTTCACACTCATTATATGTAATGCACACGTGTTATCGTGTCTAGGTCGTTATATCTAAATAATGGTTTTTACTTCCAATTATGGCCTAAATGACCGTTGAAGTCGAGTACCATTACATCTAAATAATGACATCGTAGGAAGCATGGTTTATAAATAATTCGTTACAAATTACGAAGTAATAAATATTCACCAGTGCTCTAAAGTTACAATTAGGTCCTATTCACCTATCGAAAATGGCAAAGCAAGGTATACAGCA